CACACACACACACAGAGAGAGAGAGAGAGACATACGGACAAGATTGCTAAACTATGTTTTTCCGACTCAGGGAGCCCTAATACGTCGAGATTTGAAAAAATCTCGATTTGTTTTGCACGATTACAAGACTTTCTCTATCCTTCGTATATACGAGAAAGTAAAAAAGACGTACAGACTGCATACGTTTCGAATTCGCCTCTAATTTAGACCGCAAAATGTCTTTAAAACTGAGTTTGGACTTAAGACTGGACACTGGCTATCTAACTTGCAGCAACTAATATATACAGAACAAGTGATTGTCTGGGGAGCGGAGAGCTATCAAATATGTAACGTTTTAAAATCAAATTAACGTTAGTAGATATGTGACTAATTAAACATACTAAATTACAGGGGTCGGTTTTAAAAGCAATTTGTAAATATGTCGAAATATAAGAATCAACCAATTTAATCGTAAAATATAAGAATCTTATTCTAGGAAAAATGCAATACAAACTACTTATGGGGATTGTAATTTGAATCAGAAATTTACTAATAACTTGGTTTAGAAGAAAATGTTAACAAAGAATTAATACTAATCAGGTGTAATATAAGTAAACTGGTAGGTAAAGTTGTTGTTGAAACGTTATGTGAGTCTCAGTGGCTAGTAACTTGAGTTAACTTGTGGGGGGGGGGGGAGGAGGGGGGGGGGCTGTACGATACGCCTACAGAGGTGTGTGGGCAACTTGAGTTAACTTGAGGATGGGTGGGGGGACGCTGTATGATACACCCACGTAAGATACAAGTAAGTTGTGGGGGAGGCTGTATGAAGCGCCTACGTGAGAGATGAGTAAACTTGTGGGGGAGGTTGTGTGAAGCGCCTACGTGAGAGATGAGTAAACTTGTGGGGGAGGTTGTGTGTAGCGCCTACGTGAGAGATGAGTAAGTTGTGGGGGAGGTTGTGTGTAGCGCCTACGTGAGATATGAGTAAACTTGTGGGGGAGGTTGTGTGAAACGCCCACATCAGCTCCAGCCGCCGATGGTTTACATATGGTGGCACTTTTTGTTTATGACAGGATGGACCATGGCATGACGTCTTCAAGCTGCCAGACTACTAGTGACCCGTCCCCGGCCATGTTATCTCCAGCATAAATACCAGTACACTGTAACATAACTACTAGTACACATCTTCCAGTAATATTGCTACCAGTACAAATATTTTAGCCATGCTCATCTGCTTTTAATAGGAGGTGCATAGTAATGTTTCATATTTGGCTCCACTTCAAAACGGCAAGTTAAATGTATAGTAGTAGGGACCAATGAGAACATCGTGTGCGAATCCCCCCCCCCTCCCGAAAAAATTCTACCGCCTCCCCCGAACGAAATGAAATTTATATAATTTATATACAAAATATATACTTTTAACAGTGTCCGCCCCCCCCCCCCTCCGGAGAAGAAAGTCTGGAAGAAACACTGTCTATTTCGTCACGACTGTGTGTCAAACATTTTATAGTAATGCAAATTTATGTTTATACATACATACATATATGCACACACAATGTTATTTCAGTGCAAGTTTTTTCAGTGTGCTCTTAATAAGCACAGGTCACGTGGTAAGTAATTTAAATAGCTATAAACAAGGATCATTCACTCGATTGATTTTTCGATTCCTAATCAGTGCCAATGTATGAAGCATGAACGTGATGATTCCAAACAATTTGCCAAGTGTCATCAATATTGGATGATGTATTCCCTGACATACTCTCCGTCCACTGAAGGCTTACACCAAGCATCATTTCAACAGCCTTGCTTACACTGGCCTGTTTGCCCGTCAATATTGACAGTCTTCATTGATTGGTGCTCACCGTCACGTGATCTTACAGTCATGCGTATCTACCCCGCCCCAGAACAAAGGAAACGTTACAAAGCAGTGAATGGGTTAACCACAGGGCACACACGGTTACCCAATGGTACGGGGGGAGGAAGATCTTCAAAGGCCAGATACAGGCCAGTAATTATCTTTAAAAGAGCTACTGAATAGATCTTTGTCTTTTATTGATACTTTACATGTAAGCTTTCATTGTTCCGTAGCTGGATCTATCTCCGACGATGTATCAACCACCGTAAACCCCCCCCCCCCCCCCCTCGGTGTATCAACCACACATCGCTGTATGAACCCCCCCCCCCTTAGGTGTATCAACAACCCACCTATGTATCTAACACCCCCAGTATATCAACCACCCTCGCCTGTATCAACCACACACACACACACCCTCTCGTTGTATCAACGCATGTGTCGCTCATCTATTTCTAACAGTTTCTAACAGAAAGACGGCAGCTACTTCACCAAACAAGGAGTCCGCTGATTGGCCCCAGTACAAGTTTTCCTTCAGTTCCCCATACACAAAATATCAATCACTAGTTTTATGAGACGTTTGGAGAGTTAAAAGTAAAAATTATTTTATGTTTTTCATTGAGTAAGGACAATCCTGTCCAGTACAGCTGTCTTGGCCTTGTGTTGATGTGGCTGAGGGTGATGGTGGTTGTACGTGTCGTTTTGTGACGCCTTGTTGGGATAAAATTGTGTGACATTTTTAATGCTGACTCCAGAAACCCGAGTCATGTGTGTACATAAATGTTAGGATCAGACTTTTCTTAAGGGTATTTATTTGTCAAGGTACACTGAGGAAAACTTTCAGGGACAAAAGGACTATGACGGCAATAACCTGTAGTGATTTGATTAATTAGATTCGATAATTAATATGTCCTTGTTAATTAGGAAGCAGTAATCATTTTACATATTAAACGCTATACCATATATTAATAACTAAAATGACAGTTCGACTCCCCTAATATTTGAGCAAAAAATATTACCAACAAAATTTCCAGTGCTATTTTGATGACTTTAACTACTGAATGTACAATATTAGCTGGATGATTGTTTTCTATGTGTGTTACGTGAGTTTTAGCAACTAAGGTCATCGCCACAACCATGACCATTACAACAACATGGAGGTTAAGCTACCACAGCTACAAGGGCCTTGGCTATCACTACCACAGCCACAAGGGCCTTGGGCTATCACTACCACAGGCACAAGGGCCTTGGGCTATCACTACCACAAGGGCCTTGGGCTATCACTACCACAGCCACAAGGGCCTTGGGCTATCACTACCACAGCCACAAGGGCCTTGGGCTATCACTACCACAGCCACAAGGGCCTTGGGCTATCACTACCACAGCCACAAGGGCCTTGGGCTATCACTACCACAGCCACAAGGGCCTTGGGCTATCACTACCACAGCCACAAGGGCCTTGGGCTATCACTACCACAGCCACAAGGGCCTTGGGCTATCACTACCACAGCCACAAGGGCCTTGGGCTATCACTACCACAGCCACAAGGGCCTTGGGCTATCACTACCACAGCCACAAGGGCCTTGGGCTATCACTACCACAGCCACAAGGGCCTTGGGCTATCACTACCACAGCCACAAGGGCCTTGGGCTATCACTACCACAGCCACAAGGGCCTTGGGCTATCACTACCACAGCCACAAGGGCCTTGGGCTATCACTACCACAGCCACAAGGGCCTTGGGCTATCACTACCACAGCCACAAGGGCCTTGGGCTATCACTACCACAGCCACAAGTGCCTTGGGCTATCACTACCACAGCCACAAGGGCCTTGGGCTATCACTACCACAGCCACAAGGGCCTTGGGCTCTCACTACCACAGCCATAATGATAAGGGCCTTGGGATATCACTACCACAGCCACAAGGGCCTTGGGCTATCACTACCACAGCCACAAGGGCCTTGGGCTATCACTACCACAGCCACAAGGGCCTTGGGCTCTCACTACCACAACCACAAGGGCCTTAGGCTATCACTACCACAGCCATAATGATAAGGGCCTTGGGATAGCACTACCACAGCCATAATGATAAGGGCCTTGGGCTATCACTACCACAGCCATAATGATAAGGGCCTTGGGCTATCACTACCACAGCCACAAGGGCCTTGGGCTATCACTACCACAGCCACAAGTGCCTTGGGCTATCACTACCACGGCCATAATGATAAGGGCCTTGGGGTTCCGCCGCCACATTCACCATCCACAAGGGCCTGAGGTATCTCCACCACAAAGACTACCATTGAGTAAGTCCTTAATGTACCCCACCCCCAACATTGTGTAAGTCAAATGACAGTCATCGCAACAATCCGCGGTCGATTGACTAACAGTACAGACCGTCTTTCTTCTCCCGCGGATCAATGCACAAAAAATCCCCCCCCCCCCACGTTCTCATCTCATAGTAAACAGTGATCTACCATCGTATCACAACAACCCAGTCCATAATAAAAAAACCTGCCGGCTCAATGAGCAACAATTACACGTCACGCATCAGCGATCTGTAGTTCCAACAAGCTCCCATCACTGGCTTAATTACTACTCAAAAACATAGAAAAAATCGTTTTGACTTTTCTATACAAAGACGGCACTTGACTGACGAGGTAAATGGATGAAATTGGAAACTACGTCACGCTTGATTGCACGCACACACACGCATACACACACACGGATGGTACGACAAGATATTGAGCAATCCGGTGGGGCAATTATCATCGTTCAGTTACAGACAACATGCGCTCAGCCAACCAGAACGGAGAAGATGGCGTGTGTTGACAATCCTCTCGGACTTGGGCGAGAGGCTGCTCTGGGAGATAAGGGGACGTAAGAAAATGTCGCGGATGGCAAAAACACCTAGTTGTGAATAGTTGGTCAAGTGCTGGTCAAGTCAAGAATACAACATCCAACAGAAATATTCGAGAATTCAACAAACCGAAGAAACAACAAATAGCACCCAACAAACAACATACAAGAAACAACGCTCAAGAATTAAAATCAAACATCCAACATCCATCCAAGTGACACCATCCAAGTATGGGTACACCAACCACTCACATAAGTGTCCACTCTACCAGAACATGAAGTGGGTGAAGACTAAAAACAACAAGTGTACTCACCCCATTCGGGTACGCCGATGCATATGGAGGGATAAAAAAACCAAGTGAGCCAGTTGGGCCATGGCCTGGGGCAACTGGGCCTGCAGCTGCTTTATCTGGGGAAAAAAAACAACTCTATTACCACAATAGTCACTTCAATCCGTGCAGTTTTTCTTGACAGATATCTATAACATTTTTTTTTTCAAACTTCAACAGTTTTTTACTGCTTGCCTCCTCTTAATCTTGTCTAATTTAACTCAGCACAAGCGTATCGAGTTTAACATTAGACAAACATCAATTTTTCTTATGGCTTCTTGTCCGCTGGAGAGAGTAAAAATACAGCGCAGTTCCCGTAACTCGGGAAATATTTTAGTATAACCTCGGTTGTTTCCCTTTAATAATCCATACTAGTTGGCGTGTTTGCGAGTTGAGGCAAATTTTCGCTGGTTTTTAATTTTTTGGCAAGTTAGTCAACTACATGAGCATTCATATAATTAAATTAGTATTAAATAAAACTAACATTAATGTTTAGAACCATCCAAAAGCATGACGAACTGCTTGAATTATTTTCTTAATTATTTATATTAACGACATTCGGGATCTTCTAAAATAAAAATTCTCAAAAAAATTTTTTTTTTCTAAATTAATTTTAAGATCAACAGGAAAATTACATTCAATTTAAAAACAATAAAAAGGCTATCAGTAACAACACCGCCCCTTGAATGTGCAGGGTTATGTCTTCCAGCATCAACTTCTTATGGGGAGAGCACGGGGGGGGGGGGGGCGCCACAAACGGGGACTTAAAAATCTAAAAATTCTAGCGATATTTCTATCTTTCCTTTTGCCGATGTTAAAATCTGTTTGATCTCGCGGGGGCCCAAGTCGCAGGTTTAATTGCACCTGATGAAGCAATTAAGAAAGGAACCGGCAAATAAAAACAATGTAAGTAGTTGCACCTGTCGGCGGGCCTTTCATCTGAGCGGAGAAAGGCGTGTAACCTACCGCTGTCGTCAGGACGGGGGGAGGGGAGGGGGCTACACTGGAACCTTCACTCACAGCTAGGGTATCAACACACAGTAGCCCAGGTCGGTACCAAAGCAACAACAGGCAGCCCAATGACGGATAGAAACTAGTCTATCAACCTAGTCTACCCATCAAGTATCATATACTATCAACACTTAAGTCAATTACCCTTCGAAATCTGGGTATCAACAGTCAATCTACTGCAACCTTTAGCCGATCAATCGTACCAGGGTTATCGACACAAAATCAAGCAGACGGCGAGATATTGCATCTTTTAAAATGCACACCGCTTTTACTGTATTGTTATTTTAAAGCTTTTTGTTTGTTTATTTTAACAAGAAGATCTGAAACTGCTGTCTCGTTGATTTCTGTTGCTTTTTGTTTCCGTGAAGTACAATCTAAACTTCTTTGTTTGCTTAAACCTACATGTAAAATAATTTAACCAAGTTTTAACGATTTTTGTTACTAAAAAATTGAAAATAAGTTGTTTTTATTTTCTTTTTTAATTGATAAATATTTATTTTTTCAAGTTTCGAGTTGAGAAAATGAGGGAAAAAATTAGTATAGAATTGGTACTTTAAAATACAAACGATAAATATAGACAAACTTTCGAACAATTTTTGAAAACTGTAGAACCATTCCACACCCTCTGACAATCGTAAATGTAACAACTTAATGTATTTTAAAGAAGATCCCACGAGAAATAGTTGTTGAAAAACGTGGAGTTAACAACAGGTCTAGAATCTACGTGGTACAATAACAAAAATTGGTGTAGCTAGCACACACATGCACACGTACCCTTAGAAAAACTTCCATAACATCAACAAAAGTAAATGTTTTCATTAATAGCTCGGCATGTGGCTCTCATTATCTTAGTATCAATAACAGTTATATGGCTCTTATGAGCCACCTAGCAGGGTCTGACATAACCCCCCTCCCCCACCGACCTCTCGTGCCCCGCATACAAAACAAACGCTGGCCCTATATCAATCACTGATCTTGTAGATTTATACATTCTATAGACCCGATACACTTAATAGGCCAGCACATTTGAAATTCTTTAATGTAAGCTAGTTTCGTGGAATAGTAACATTAAATCTTAGCAGCTGCGGGGGTGGGGAAGCGCTGCATTAGCGCGTACTTTAACCAACAATTAAAACAATACACCATTGTTCGCTTAGAGTTAAAGACCGCTTAAGAAACTGAAAACAACAATAGGGATTTTTTTAAATGTGTACGTCACAGTGCAAATAATGTTAAAAATACTGTCTGGTCAAATGACTGACGCTGAAGGGGTAAAAAAATTTTTTGGAAATACTGGATTTGAAAGTGATTAGAGCAGTGGTTCCCAACCTTTTTCGAGTGGCGACCCCCTTTTATAAAAATTAAGTGACCCGCGACCCCCATATAATTAAAAAGCCGAAATTAGTATGGAAATCAATAAGCTCTAAAATAACATTTTCTAGTAGACTTTCAATATCAACTACTCTTGATAAGTGTTTTAATACCATGAGTAAAATTGCATACTATTCACTAAACATTCGTGGTTAATTTTTTTAAAGCATTTTTTTTTGTTAACGCCAACCTATGTCATTATCATTATCTTAATTTTGTTTTTAATCGAAAAATAATGTTGAAAATCTATTCTCGAAAAGTCAGTCAATTTTACGTTTGGGTATGAATGGTGAATACTACACCAAAATGGAGTGTGCAGTTTTTTATCGTACGCGGAATCATTCTGCAAATCAAAGAATTCATCTTGTAATTAACCGTGAATGCTGGCAACATCGAGGGAAGAAGAGAATGGATAATGCGTCAATGCAGATTCTTTTTTTTTCAGCTCAAAGAAATAGCGCTGCAGTTCGTTTTCACTTGATTCAAGATGCCCAGAAATTTCTTCTTTCAAAATTTTATTATCTCACAATTAGATTCATCTACCACACTACAGAGTTTCTCAAATTTACAATATTTCCAAGATTTTTTTTTTCGCCGATTTTGCAGCTTTGATAAAAATGCCCCGAGATAATCATGGAAAGTGATAATATTCGTTCATTTTCCCTGAAGCTTCAGGTTATGCTTATGTTGATGTTCGAACACATCTGCTAGGTATGATATTCTCTCCAACCACTCTATGTCGTTTTCAGTATACCAAAAGGTCTTGTTTCCTTTGCATTTCCAAGAACAATTTTATTTCAGATTTCAATTCAAAAACACGATTCACAACAATTCGTTTGACAGCCAGCGCACTGTAGTGTAGAAGAGCAGAACCTCGTGATATATATTAATGTTTTTGCTCAGTTCTTTGAAGGCTCCAGATTTTATGTAATTTACCACTTATACTAGCAATGGAGTCTTGATGGCGATTGGTGAGGGCAGTGGTTAGGGAGCTAAATCTTTTCTGCTTTCTGAAAGCTCGATTTTGACCTAAACATAGATGGTGCACCATCCGTACAAACCCTCACAGCCGTTTTAACCCATTTTAATCATCCAATTTAAAAAAAACGTATTTATTTTCACCATGCTATCTTCACAAAAGTGCAACTCTTCTTTGCTATCATCTGAAGGAATATAGACAAAGACCAGCAAATGCGAACACGAACTGACGTCTGTTGATTTATCAACTTGAAAAGCAAACAATGGTGAAAGCTTAATTTCAATAAAAATGTGTTATTTAACATCTACGGACATGTAAGACTTAACTTCACCATCTTCAACATGCAGCGTTTGATGAGACTTTCTCCTATTGTGTTTTTTTTTTTGCTTGGCATTTTCTATCGTGACTTCACATGACGCTTGCCGTGTTTACTTGGTGAAAACTTCCTGTTCGATCAAGTCTCTGACGTATGCAACTAGCTTCATACCGACGAAAGAACTCCATATCTTTTTTGGTGTGTTTCAAATGACTCGTCTCAAATGACGTTTTAGTTTTGAAGATTTCATAGATACGTGACTGAGAACAACTTTGTGCTGTGCGCTTTGTTTCTTCTCTATTACATTTCCAGCGATGTTAGTAAAGCCGAATTTCAAAAATTCTTCTAAATATTTATGTTTTGTTTCAAATTAATAAGGTTTAGTATACCAGTTGGCGACCCCCCAGAAAGACCTTCGCGACCCCCAGGGGGGTCGCGACCCCCAGGTTGGGAACCCGTGGATTAGAGTAAACGTAGTAGAAATATTAGTTCACCGGATGATTAAAAAGTTTAGAATAGACAATATTAAAATAGAACGTTGGTTAGTAAAAGTGCTTAAAATACACAGGACACAATGATTTCGCAACAAATAAATCATTGACGTGATAGTGAGTAGTGATAAGGAAAGAACGCCCCCCCCCCCCCCCCCCCAGTTTTTTCAGTCCATGTCATCACTAGTTGCGTGCATGAACGCTCGGTCGCATGTCAAAGCTTATTTACTCATTAATATCATTATGTACGGTGGGGACATGCAGACTTAGTTTTCTTGTTATAGTGATGGAAATAGTTACAACTCTAAAACAACACTTGTTATACTGATGGGAATAGTTACAACTCTAGAACAACACGTGTATAGTAATGGGAATAGTTACAACTCTAAAACAACACTTGTTATAGTGATGGAAATAGTTACAACTCTAAAACAGGGGTCTCCAAACTTTTCAGTCCGAGGGCCGCATTAACTAACAAATTTCGTTCGGGGGCCAGTTTCTTACAGGCATGTCTTTGATTTTTTCTGGGCAAAGTTCCTCAGCCAGCACCAACAAACGTTTTTTCCGTGGACAAAAAGATCTCCGCGGGCCGGATGAGAGAACCTCGCGGGCCGCATACGGCCCGCGGGTCGTAGTTTGGAGACCCCTGCTCTAAAACAACACTTGTTATAGTGATGGAAATAGTTACAACTCTAAAACAACACTTGTTATACTGATGGGAATAGTTACAACTCTAGAACAACACGTGTATAGTAATGGGAATAGTTACAACTCTAGAACAACACTTGTTATACTGATGGGAATAGTTACAACTCTAAAACAACAATCTTGATTCACTGAATTTTTTTTCTCATACACATGTTTGAAAAACGACTTGAGTGGACGGTACAGACATGCATGTCACTAAGTTGG